TCTTCATTTTTTTTTGTTAATGCTAATTAATTTACGATTTCGATGATTCGATTAAAGCAACGACCAACAGCAGTAAAGCATCCAACACAAAATATAGAAAAGACAAAATCTAATATATATATATAATAAATAGTACGTTCAAACGTCTCGCACACATTTAATTTTTATATATTTATATAATATTATATAGAAATACTTTTTTTATATTCTTATTAAAACATTTTGCTGCTAAATATTATCTTTTTTTTAGTATATAATATAGTTATTTTTTTTCTTCATATATTTATGTATATATATATTTTGTTTATATAATGCTGAGCGGGTCGACTAGCCTGGTTCGCAAGTATACTCTGTTACGCTCTACTCCCTCACCACGTCTATTCTACACTTATTAAAAAGTAGATAAATAGATAGCCTTTAAAACGTTAGTTCGTTACCTTATTGCTTTCAGTTACGATTAGAAGACGAAATTTTGATATTATATAAATAACAATTATTATAAAAAAAAAATGGGGATCAAGGGGCTGTTTTCTTTTTGGTTTTTGTTTGTTTACTTTCATCGTTTTTCTCCATCTTCTAGATCAGTTTTCATCATCCTCATTTTACGTTTTCCTACTGTATATGCAAATAGGAACATGGGAACTGAATTCATTTACACACACATATTATATACCATTTATTTTTTGACAACCCATTGGAATCCCGTAACAGTTAGACCTGCGATCCATTAGCTTATGTCTCATACAGGAGGCTACAAAAAGATATATTTTATTATATATAATTTTTTTATTTATTTTTTTTTTCTTCATATAATATAAATATTTTTTTTACTAGAAACATCTATTACGTAATTCTTTTTTTCTTCATCTTGTCTTATGCTATTTGAAAAAATTACTCCTCATATAATATATTATGAAATATAGATATTGTTACTTAAATATCGTAATTAGGCCTGTATATTAAGTGTTCTTCATCAATCCCCACTTTTCATTTTCTTTTAAAAATATGCTAATATACAGTGTGATTTGCTAATATATTTGTGTGTCGCAGTCGATTTCCATGTAAACGATGAAAATATGGTATTCCTCTTTGTTCTCCCTTTCTTTATTCCTTCATTCAATTATTGCGGTGGGGCTGATGCCCCACTTTTAAGGTTTAAATTTTATAAAAAATAAGAACACGAAACTAGAAATGAGTATAGAATAAAATGAGTGTCTCGATTTATGCCAATTTGACTATCTAAATTTCGACAAAATGTTCAACATTTTGGATCTCATTTGTTTTGTTTTTTTTTTGTTTTTTTGTTTTTTTATTTCTTTACAAATAGTAAAAATGAACTAAAATACTCGTTTTTAAAGATTTTTTCCTATTCTCTTATTACTTTTAGTATTTAATCGTCTATGATGGGATGATTTCGGGCGGGAAGACTTCTTAGTTACTTTTTTTTTGTTAAATTTACTTGTTTTTTGTTCCTAATCTGAACGGTTGCTCTCGCCAAGTCCAAAGCCCCATTTGTCTTAGAACGGTGCAATATATTCCTCAATCGATACCCTAAATATTCATATTGCCTAGCCTATTTATTACTTTAACTAACACCGTTCCCAACCCCGATTTTCAATCATTTTCCTTTACAATCAACCATAATATTACATTTTGTTTGAGCAGAATTTGTCAATCGATCATTTACGTCGCAAATATTTATATATATATATATATATTTGTATAATTCACACATATATGTATATATAATTTTATATATTTCCTTAATCCTTATTAAATATATGCTCTAAACTACACTCACGCGTTACTAAAATATGTCTTGCGATTATAGCAATATCAGTTATTAAAATATAAAACGCGATTCCTCGTTTTTTTTCATCCACTAAATTTAGTTTGTTTTTCATGTTTAATGTTTTTTTTCGTGTATTCCATTACCTTATGAGAATTTGTGCCTCGTGAATGTATCTCTAAAAACTACAGTACTCACAAAACATGCAGGAATCATTGAACATCCAAATCTACTAAAAAATAATAAATAAAAAGGATACTGAAAAGAGAAAAAACATGCGAAAATAAAACAAAAATAAATAATAAGAAAAAAAATGTATAAATCACGAAATTTATTACAAATATTTGGTAGCAATTAAATTTATATATAAAAGTCAAAATAAAATTTTTGTATATTTTTTTTTCGTAGTAGTAATTAAATAAAAAATATTAATCATCCTAGTGACTTGTCCCGAGCCAGCGTACCGGTAGTCTTAAATAATATATATATAGTGTATATATAGATCAATAAATATATTCCAAAAAAATAATAAAAAATAAAAGCGACTGGTCGGGACAAATCAAATAACGACATGACCAGAATCAAGAAAAAAAAATATTATAAAGAAATAGTTAAAAAGAAAGTCTTATATGTTTTTTGTTGTTGTTTGTTTTAATGTTTAAGCGTTTTCGGTCACACGCGGATTATTACTATCGTATCATTTTATCATTTTTTATTTGTTGGTATTGATTTTGGATATCGTCTGAAAATTGAAAAAAAGAAATTAAATAACTCGCGAAATGAAGAAACTTATACATTTAAAAAAAATAGTAATAATAATAATAATAAAGGGCGAACAAAATAATAATAATCAATACGAAATAAAAAATAATAATGATAATAAAATAATAATAATAAAGGAAAATCACCACAAGTTGATTTATACATAATAATATAAAAGTAAAATATCAATATAAATATATAATATAATAAAAAAATTCTAATTAAACTATTTGAAAAAACAGTCACGCTGCACACAGACGCTGTGGACATGTACTTGTACTAACATTCATAATTAAATATCTTCACAAAAATATGTAAAAAAATAAAATAATAATAATTAATAATAATAATAATATGGTATTAAGAGCTAACAACAACTTATATACAAATATACGTATAACAAACTAAAGTTGGCGGGCGGCTGGGGGTCCGCACACTTGGCTAGCGTAGACCACTTGCAACTCCTCATCATCATGTTATCGCGTCTCACTTCCGTCCGTTACGTCATTCCATTCATAATAATTATTATTACCAATAAAACATATAGGCGAATATATCATTTCATTTTAATAACGATTATCATAACCGAACTGTAAATAGTATTTCACAAAAAAAAAATAATATATATATATATATGTATATAATTAAAAAATAAAAAAATAAATAATAAACAGAATATTGCTTCTAATAATATAATCAATATATTAATCTTAAGTAATAATAAGCATATATATATTTCATATATGTATATAGTTGTTTCATTATTATTTTTTTCTCCTGTTTTTCCTGTCGGGTCCACGCTAGCCGCAATTCACTAAGTGCTGGGTGAAAATGCAAAACAAAAAGAAAATATAATACGATGGTTTTGTTCTTGTCTTATGCGTGTTACTTTAAGGTTTAAGTTGTGTGTTTTTTTAATTTTTGGAAGAGGGTACACACACTTTCAATTTCTAACATATGTATATATATATATATACACATATGAATGTATATGTACGTATATGCTATTTTTTTTTCATTAAGTAGTAATAATAGTAGTAGAATCGTGCCCAGGGGGATGGGTGGGGGTTGATTTTCTTCCTCTTCAAATATTATCGTCTTTCTCTTGAATTTTATATTGTTTCCTAGTTTAAGTAAGTTGACAGTGAATACTGGAGTTCTGAGGCACGAACTTAGGGGCGGGGGCCGCGCAAATCTACGACGAATGTTACGGAAAACCACCATATTTTTTTTTTCCGAAACGATGGCAGCAAGACACGCAACTCGCGACGGCACCGGTCTCCTCACTAAACAGAGCTGCGCACAGCGTCAATAAATAATTTCATCTTCTCATAAAATACTCTTCAATAACTTATAGGCTATAAGAAATATACTTATATGTTTATCACACATCACATGACATAACAGAACAATAGTAACAATGAGTGATTAACTAACAATAAGGGATATGTATGTCGTTTATTACGTTTTTTTTATTAGAATCTACATTCTTTTGTTGTTGTTCATCTTCGTCATCGTCGTCATAATCATTATAATCCATTTCATCAATAAACTTCTCCGTCACTTCTCAATTTTACTCGTAATTATTTAGGTTTTTTTATTCCGTGCGCACCCCCCTGGAAACCGTCGAAGCCTGTGGCAGTTCGGATCACAGCCAGACCCCCAAAACCCTGCTCTCTCACTCTCTCTCTCTATGTGTCTCTCTCACACCGCACAAATCTCTATCTATCTTCATTTGTTTATATAATATAATATAATTCATATATATACTTCACTTTTTTTTTTCTCGTTATTACAATTTCCACTTTTTTTTCTCGTTTTATAATTTTTTTTCATTTTTTTTTTTATATATATATAATATATTAAACTTCAATTACTATACTTAAACAATATTGAGAATTGCTGAATCAGACTTTAATTGATGCTAGACGATCCCCGGCGGGGGGAGCGCCGCATGGCAAAATTAAAAAAATATATTTTAAAAAAATATAATAAAATAACGAAACTCTTCTCTCTATTTTTTTTTGTTTGTTTGTTTATTTTGTTTATTTCTTTGCATCTCTTGGTATCAATTTGTTTCTATTTATATATTTTTTCTTCGCATTATGTAACTGTGTTGTTATTTTATCAAACTCTTTTTTTATCTTTCATAAAAACTTTTCACTTTAAATAAAACAAAATGCAATAAAAAATATACCGATCTGATAATAATAATAATAATAATAAATTCTAATACTATTTAAAAAAAACTGTGATATAATAAGAAAATATTTAAATAATCTGTTTAAAAAAAACTGGCATATATGATGACTACGCACCGGCAAAGCTCGCACCTCCCAAGCCACGATTATGTTTTTTTTTCCTATATATATATATATTTATGTAATATAAAATATATTTATATATATTGAAAAGAAAAGTTAAGTAGTTAAACGAAATAGAAAACAATCAACAAAATAAAATTATAATAATAATAATGTATATATATATTAATATAGTAGTAATAAGTTTCGTTGTGAGCGCCGTTGATGGCTTGCGATGCGCGAGCCAAGCCGGGCTGAACACGGGGCGCGGGCCCGGGGAATGTGGATGGGCGCGGTGGAGGATTCGAGCGAGATCGATAGGCAGCTTAAGGGTTGGGCGAATATATGCGGATAGATTGGACAGCGGGCAAGCAACAAACAGGACATTGAGCCTCGCTGGCGTCGCACACCCGGTTGGCACAATCCATGCAGAAGAAGTTGTGGCCGCATGGCACAAGGGCGTGGGTGACTTTGGCATCGCCACAGACCAAGCATTTGGCTGAGCTCAGCAGAGAGTCGGCGGGGCTGGTGCTGTTCGCGGGGGATGGACGCGAAGGCGCCGCAACGCTCGGGTATGACCAGATACTGGAGAGGGCTGTCGAGCTATCAAAGCTTGGCGAATCGCCGAGCCCCTCGTCGCGGTCATTCGAACTCCAGATTGCCCCCAGGTCGCCGCGGCCTCCGGAGCTCGAGGAACTCGAAGAGCATGATCCGGAGCTAGAAAAAGCCCCGGTGCTGCCGGTGGAGGAGGTCATGTTCGGAAAGGCGTCAGTTGTCGGCTCCATATAGTTAAACAGCGACGTGAATCCTGTCTTATACAGATTGGTCAGGATATCGCTGGTGTCTTCTAAGTTTCCCAAACCGTTGATACCGTTAATGGAAGTGCCGTTGCCGGTGCGCATGGCGATGTGGGCCTCGATTTCCCTACGAGCCGTGTCCACGTTTTCCGGAAGTCCGGTCACTTCGAAGACGGGCTCCTTGTCGCGGCTGGGTGTCACGATGTAGGTGTGGGTCTGATGCTGGATGCGTTTGATGGTTGCCCCTTTGGGTCCAACGACAAGACCTACCACACGGTATGGTACACGCACCTGGATCGTTACGTGTCCTGGCACATTGGCCGGTGGTCCTGGAGGTGTACTAGCACCTGAATTCAAACCGGCCAAGTTATTCTTGCGCGAGGCACGGATCTGGGAGAAGTGCTCAGCTGCCGACAGGATCTCCCTCTTGGCCTTCGCTACGTCCTCCTTGCGGCCGGTCACCACGAAGACGGGCTCCTCTCCGCGCACCGGCGTCTTGATGTACGTGTTCGTCTTCGCACGGAGCGCCTTGATCTTACAACCTGCAACAAGCAAACCAAAACAAGAATATTAGAAACATTTCACAGCAATCCCAAACAGCTCACAGCTTTACCACCATCATCGTTCGCATTTAACTCTCTTTTTTTACACCCGGCCGCGGAAAAATATTGACTTATTGAAACGGTATGGGTGAGCAGACAAAGCAACGGACGGTCCGCCCTTCAACCTGTTCGCAGGTCAGTTGCATTCACCTTGTGCGAGGGCGCTGACTGCGTGCGAATGCATTTGCACCCGGACAACCTTCAGCGACAACCAACAATTTCTCTCTTCTTCTTCTTTTACTTCTTTATTTATTTTCATTTTTGATGCAACCATTCCGTACACACACACACACACAAACATCCACTCATACAAACATAAGAAATTGTTTATCATCATCATCGTCGTCGTATCGTCTTCGTTGACTTGGTTCGCATGAACGACGAACCGAAAATAGTTAACTTTTCCCAGATAAACCTGCGAATCTGAACATGGAAATCAAAGGACAGTGCCGTCTCAAGGAATATTCGCGCACGAATTCGATCTTAAAAAAGTGCGAGAGAGCATACATAAAACTGCGTACTGCTTTCTAGTTTGGTTCTGTACACGTATGTAACCTTGGCATGCAAGAATGGAATAGCAGACCAGGTAAGGTCGGGATTTATTATGGACCGCTCTTCATGCTTGTGGAAGACAGGTTTCATTTAAAGAATTCTCTCCCCCCGCGCATGAGAGCGCTCCATCCCGCATTGTTTCTTATACCTTCGGAAACTTCGATTTAATTAAGGCCCCTTCGCCTAATGGCCCACCGCAACCATCGTTCCTCTTTTCCTCCATCTACTTCTCTCTCATTTTATTCTTTTTCATTTTCAGACCATTTCGTTTCCTTTCACTCCGTCGTCGTCGTTTCGGGGTTGTATTTTGCATCTTCAAATAGAAGCGCTCAGCGGAGGTCAGTGAGACTATATTAAGCGCACGGGGCAATGCATTCTTCACGCAGCTTGCTCCAACACACATGCAGAAAGAACAGTCCCGACGCTCTTCACATAATTTACATATTTATACTAAGAACAGAGAATAAATTACACCTCGATTTATAACTTCATTCACACGGGACCGTGATTTATTCCGCGCTCGAAACGGAAACCCCCGGTGTTGTCAACCTCGAATTATTCGAGAATCAACTTATTCGCCATTACAGTATTTTCCTTTATTCATTTTCCTCTCTTTCATTTTTTATTTCTTCTTGCCTTGCACTTATTATGTAGTAGTACTAAAATTTATATGTATATCGCGAGGCGAAGTTGTAGGTTTTCGCAGCGAGTGGTGGATTATGGCTGCGGATGTGTGCAATATAATTATATGTAGGCTCAAGGTGAATGCTGATGAAAAAAAAATACGTTTTGGCGAGCATGAAAAGTGAATGAGCGAAATGAGTGTTCGTCCTGGGCACAGAAGGAGTGGATCGGACACAGAAAACTGGAGTGCACGAGCTTCGGCGTGCAGACAACATCAATAAAAAAAACAGGGAGAGAGAAGGAGGAAGATGAAGAACAAGTGAAAAAATAAGGTTTCTTGGATGGACTCGCATGTTCGTTGGATGAAGAGAGGTGGTCTATCTCTCGCTCCTTTCTCAGCAAGAGGGAATGCACCCGCGTGGAAATGTCAACGAGCTGGCCGCGCTCCAGGCGACAGCATTGCACTCGCTCTACAGTCTAGCATCTGGGTCTAGAAATATCCTCGGGTAAATGCCACCACGTAATAATAGACCATCTTGCTAAGTGTTTTTATATACCGATGCGGCGTGTTGTCTTATATATCTCTCGCACACACAGAATCCTGCCACTGAAATCGCATTCCTGCCATCCGATATCGCCGAGCCTGTTGCTCAATTTTCAGGACGAACAATTGCACAATTTCCACCAACTATTTCGTAGCGCCGATCCTCCAACCTCTATCTCGAGACTTGAATTTATTTTTTTTAGCACATCGGCACATAGGTAAATATTTATCTATATTTATACCCACTTAGCGAAAACACCAGTTACTGGATACACTATTTATTTTTTTCCATACACATACAACATTCATAAATACATATATGTATTAATAATGTGCATGTGTACGTATCTTTCCTGTATCCAAACCGTCCCCTCTCTCACACGCACCGTCTATTATCACATGATGATAAAAGCGATTACAGCTGCCACAATTACATAAGTTATTATTATTATGAGGAAACGGATGGGATACGTTCAATTGAATCAATTTGCTTTGATCGATTGTAATTGCGTGTATGTCTATACCTACTACACATGCTGAAGCTACATAGATGAATGCATGCATGCATTTCGATGTTAAAATTTGGAAACGCGTGGGGCCTTGCGTAACTGTGGGTCGTTACCATCGACAAATCAAATATTTACGCGGTTTAAATTTGCAACTACGAAAGGTGTAACGAGCTCTGAAATGGTGTTACAAGCACCGAATTCGTGATACATTTTTGGTGACGTTACGTAATTATAGAGATCATCGGACAAGAATGATTAGAGATGTCGAAACGTGGCGTGGTGCTTTCTGAGGCCCTGGACATCGGCATCGGCGTATGTAAATAGAGTCTGAAAGAGGGTCACACTTGGAGCATGTCAATAGACCTCCGCCTCCTCTGAGACCGTGAATTAATTAGCACGTTCGACGGCCGTATGAAAATAATTATGTTAATGTATGAATGGAAGAGCGGCAGAAGTACTTAGGTACCACGTGGACCCTTGCACTACGCCATTCCCATCTGTATATATACGTACACAGGCATAATACGAGTATGGATGTGTTTGTTTCCACTCGTTCTCCCCGAAAGCGAACGAAAATGAAGCAAAGAGGAGAGAATATTGAACGCCTCGGACGTGATGACATTACAAATAAACAGACAACCTTGGTCCCCCAACATACATTACAACAAAAAAAAACCTTTACATAAGAAACAGAAAGCCCACGCCGAGCGCGTATCGATCGCGACATAATATCCACTTCGGAATAAGCGCCGAGGGAATCGTTTATTTAAACAAAATTGCTCTTATTAATATATCACAAAAGATTCAGACGAAGAGAGTATGAGGTGAAAGAAGGGGAGGAGAATTGGTACGAAAACGGTAATAGGGGGACTAAGCAGCAACTGCGGTTCGTTTGGGGCATTAGGAAAGCCCTAGCTCTTTCTCGCTAAGCGTAACGAATGGGATTAAAAATTCAAGCTGATCACCCTCCTAACGAAAGAAAACGCACATAATAAAATTACACTTGGGGGGTTGCTGTTGGGAACCGCTCGTGCGAGCAAGCACACATAAAGAGAAAGAAATAGAGAGGGATAAAAACGAAACTGAACGCGTGCTTTATGTGCAGCAACCCTCACCCCGGTGATACACGTAACGTTTATGCTAATGATCGAATTCGTACCTTTTTTCATGTAGATATCATTAACGATTTTTTGAGTTCAAGAACCAAGGATGTCAGCTCTCTTCAACTGAGCATGTGTCAAATAAAACAACTCTTCAATCAAACTATTTGTCATATATAATAATAAGTAGTTAACTTAAATTCGCGTCTACTAATTTAATTAATTAATTTACAAATCGCACAGTCGCTGGAGTTAATAATGAAGAACACTTTCCCATATGCTAATTGAGACCCTGAACGTGTCCAGACTTTATTTAAAGTTTAAGTACCTTCTTAAATGTATTTTAAACTACACTATAAGATATTTATAAATTGGATAATCTTAAAGATCAATTAACTAATTTAATATATTTAATTAGTGTTGTAGTATTAAAATTCTTGCAAATAATTATTGACTAAGTACAATCTTAGCAAAATAATTAATTTTTATATTGTAAAGAACAACAGAAGGCTATGTTTGCTAGCAAACCGTAATAGCACAAGATGTAAAATTTAAAAAATGTCAAAAAAATGTGTCGCAAGTGCTAAAACGGATTCCATAATAGATGCGTAAAATTTTGAAATTAACTAAAATGCTTTGTTCAGATTTGCTTAAAAATTTGTTGGTTATATGGAACGACGACAATGCTCAGCATTTGAACATCATATAAATAAATATGTCATATAAATAAATATGGACGATTTATTTAAACAAATATAGTTTTAAGAGATAATAATTAAACGATTGAAAATGCCAAATTTCAAAGTTAAATTATTTGAGCCATACCAATTTTATATTTCCTTAAAAAACTAAACACACGTATGACAAGTTTAAACTTAATATTCTTAATTGATGATGGCTGACTTAATTTATTTTTTAAATGCATGGAAACGCGTATGATATCTTGTTTAGAATGTTGATATTAGATTTATGTTTTGATCGATATCAATGGTAATGCTAATTCTATTACCGATACAAAGTAATTTGTAATTAATTAACTTACAAATAGGAAAAAAATATTTAATCTAATGCTGCATCCACACTGCGTGACATGAGACATAAATGTCTGTCAGGCATACCAAGTATTATGTAAACGTTGTGTGCAATTGTAGAAGACATTTCAGTTGACGGACATGATCATAATCAATAGTAGTTGGGACATGTGGATGCTACATAATATATACTAGTTTTTTGAGTAAGAGATGACTTGAAGGCCGGATAGTGTAGGATGATGAATTTCGCAGGGTGGTGTCCCAAAATCATATAAACACTTTGGAGTCAAGTTCTTAATTAATGTCCGAAAAACGATTATTGTTATGGCTAGACTTGGCCCCCGGTTTATAAATTGTTATATAGAAAGATAGGTATATATGTACGTATGTATTCAGGACAAAGAGGGGTGGGCGCAGTTGCAATAAAACGTAGTGTCTGGAGGGGTGGCGTAGCGTAGTCATAGTAACTGCTGCAGCTATCGGTGGGGGATGCAGACATCACGTGACGCCCGGTGCAGTGCGCCCGCTGCCACCGCCTCCACCCCTTGCGCCCCGCCACTGCGGCGGCGGCTGCGGGCCG